TGTCTAAATATAAAGTCTTAATCAACGTCCAGACTGGAATTGAATTTAACCATTGGCTTCATTATTAAATTGTTCTCTAATGTTAATACTAATTCATACCAAGGCAAATGGAATTTTCTGAAAATCTCGCAGTACTTTTGTTTTACTTAGCCACTTTTTAGCAAGCTCGTAGCAATGCTTCCGAAGCAGTTTTTGTTTTTTCGTTAATGCATGTTCAATGCGGCGGAATGAAGAGTTTCCCTTTTTGGGATCGTCGGTCCTTAACTGCAAAAATAAAAGGAATTTTCTTTGTACTGTGAAGATGCGGAACTCACATCGATGCACGGCTTACACCTTTCCCAACTAAGATCAGTAGATAGAGTTGACTTTCCCCTCAGTGTATGATGACTAAATCGGTACTCCTTGGTGGCCACCAACAGTGCTTTCTCACCCGGTTTTCTGCCACTGAATTCAATTATCATCAGGCGAAGTTGAACCTCCTCTTCCGATTTATTAAAGGGCATTCCACAGTCAAGAACAAAATCCAACACCGATGGATGACCTTCAGAGAATCGTGGAGATCCACACACTGCTGTAACAACTCCACTGGTCTGTACAAAGTGAGATTTGAACCCAATTAGAGCTGCCTTTACGATGTAGTTGGAGTTCTTCCACGGTTTTATCGCAGGCAAGTTTGTTGCATAGTAGAGGTGAACACGAACTGTAAGGTTGTCTTTACCCGTAGCATCGATGAAGACGCGATAGTTGATGGTTCCACCTGGTGCCTCTGCAGTAGTAAAACGAGGAGCTGGGGAATATTGTGGGAGAGGTGGAGTGGCTATTGGTGTTGCCGCTGTTGATGAAAGTGTCCGCTTTCTTAGTGGTGAGGTGTGAGTTGATCGGCTGACCTGCGTGCCCAAAATTGATATTAATTCGGATAGACTTGCACCCATTTCGTTCCTGATGGGTTTTGGAGACAAACTGCCCAAGGTTGTACGACGAGCAGCTCGTAGAGACTTTCTTCTTTCGGCAGTTACTGAATCTACTTTGCTCCCTATCGGTCGGAGTGAGGTTGAATTATCTTGAACTATATCAGGTTGTGTGGATGTGGTTGAGAGTAAGGCTGGAATAGGGGCCATTCC